ATGGGCCTAATGAGTGTCTCCTTGAGGGCAAGGGGAATATTAATTATTGCAGTGGCCCATTCTGTTGTTACTGGCCTGGCTGCTTTGATTAGCCGGGCCGGGCAACGGTCAAGAGAGAAGGTGGTGGCCTGGCAGCGATCAAGTGCTTTGTCCACCATATCTGGCATCACAGGTTGAAAAAATGCAAGACTCAACGGGCAAGGCGGAGCGCTGGACATCTCTGCTCGATCCACTGTATTTAAAAAAAGGAGAGAGTTCCCAGCAGATGGCCTCCACTTTAGATTTTAAGAATGCTGTGCAAATTGGTCAGGTGAGATACTAATAGGAGGCCCATCACCTAGGCCAATTCTGGATAGATCACGAACAATACAAAAATGTTCCGCCTGCTGATCATCAGCCATCATCACACCACCATTGTGCCCATATATGCACACTAATGGGGTCTGCACCTGTGTGAATGCTTGTTCGGAAAGTTCCAGAGCCTCAAAAGTGAAAGGACCTTTGCCTATACCGTGCAGGCACAGTCCCATTCTCCTTAGTCCATTTTATCCACCACTGTGACAGCACACGTTGTTCTGTTCCAGACCCCGTTCTTACTTACCTGTGTCATCCCTGTGATAGTTCTGTTCCAGACCCCGTTCTTACTTACCTGTGTCATCCCTGTGATAAGTCTTTGTCTTCTTTTAATCTTCCTCCTTACTCTTTTCCAATAACTTTTCCTGTAAAAAAAAATTTTGGTAGAGAGAGGATCATTTTTCTTAGCTGTCCCCCCACCCCCCGGCTTCTAGCCATTCCCCTTCTACTGATTTATAGCCTCTGGTTTAATGAAGAAGTGTGCCACTTGTGACAAGAAGATCCCTCAGTCAGATAGGCACAACAACACTTTTTTTTTTTGCCTAGGAGAGACCCATCTAGTCCAATTTCTCTGAGGGCAATCCCTTCAGGCTACTGATCCTGCCCCTGGAGGACACCCAACTCCTAAAGCTATGGTCACAGAAGTCACGGACCCAGTGGCACTACCAGACAAGTCCCAGTGTCAGACCCTGGGATGCCCACAACCTCAAAACCATCTTTGAAATACACCAAGAAGTTGGAGCACAATGGCTGCAAGTGACTCACAACCTCTGATATCAAGGCCGCTAAATGGAAAAAGAAGTGGCAGCCTACTAATACCAAGCTTCTTGTGGCCACCTTGGCCTCCCAACTGCCTGTCCAAGAGCCTGCCTCTGGTCATACTGCCAACACCCAGTACACAGTCTTGGTCTCAGAAGGTGAGTGCCTGAGCCCCTGTGTGCAGAGTGTTGCAATCTCTCTGATAGCTCCTTCTCCTCAGACCTCTCTGCGAGAGCCGTCCTAGGGGATGCCTTCACCACAGACTGGACTGGCGGCCTACTTATACATGTTCCCTCCTTTTTCTTTGATTCAGCACACACTCATGAAAATCCTCCATGACAGTTTTCCAGTGTCATCCTCATTACCCTTGGTGGTCTCACCAACAATGGTTTAGGACCTAACCCTCACTGCCTCGGACAGAATCTAGAACTTTGCCACAGAGGAATGGTCCACCATCTAGACATTTTTCACCTAATGCTCACCACCTGGATGATATTCCCCTCCTCACTAACATCCTGAGATAGGCCATCCATCCACAAGCAGCCTCTACAGCTACAAGTGGAAAAACTTCCAACTTTACACATCTTCACATGATCTGCTGGACTCTCCAGCTTCCCTGCCTACTGTCCTGGCCTTTCTCCTGTACCTCAAGCAACAGGGCCTTTCCATCTCCTCTCTAAAGGTTTATTGCAGCTATTGTAATTCATCAAGTGGCCAGTCACTCTTCCTATGACTTCTTTATGCACCAGATGGTTAAGGGATTCCTGAAGGGTCTTCAAAATGCCTACCTTGACATGCAGCTGCACAAGACCCTTGGTCTCTCTCATTGGTTTTGACTCAGCTCACCAGAGAGTCATTAGCGATGACAGGCATCCATCTCCTGACCTTTAAGACAGCCTTTCTGGTGGCCCCCACATCTGCTTACTAGGCAGCAGAATTGATAGCCCTCTGCTGTGACCCTCCATATCTGGTTTTCTCCCGAAACAATGTCACCTTTCATACAGATATAGCCTTTCTGCCCAAGGTGGCCTCACGTTTTCACATGCCACAACCTCTGATTCTACCTACCTTTCTAATCCTTCACTGCAGAATGACCTCAAATGCTTGCTTCTGCATGAAGTAGGGCCTTGGTGTTTTACCCAGACAGCGAACGAACAAGTTTTTTGTCTGCTACCAGGGTCCGAAAAAGAGACACCCAGTCTTCTTCCAGCATTTCTCCAAATGGATCATCTTGGCAATTTCCCTCACTTACCAGGTGGCCAACAAGCCACTGCCTAGAACTCTCCATAGTCAGTCCACCAGGAGAGTCTCCACTTCTGCTGCATTACTATGTGACACAGACCTACAAGATGTTTGTTGAGTGGCTACAGAGTCGTGACCTTTGACCTTTGTCATTCATTACTGATCAGAGCTCAGAGAGATGCTTCCTTTGGCCAAGCTGTTCTATTCTCTGTTTTGGTTTAACTCCCACCTCCAAACCTTAGCTTGAGAGTCACCCCATTTGTGCACATATATGGACATCACAAAGAAGAAGATATGGTTACTCACTGTAACTATCGTTCTTTGAGTGGTGATCCATTACCCACACAACCCACCCACTTCCCTTCTGGTTTTGCCCTCTGTCTTGCAGTGGACAACTGGGACTGAGGAGACTGGGGTTGCTTTTGCAGAGTATAGGCAAAGACACTTTTGCTTTTGAGGATCTGGAACAGGTGCCAACCCCATTTGTGCGGATACATAGATCACCACTCAAAGAACAATAGTTATGGTGAGCATTGATTAATGCTTTCATTAAAAATGTTAACAGTATAAACACCATGGGATAAACAGTGTGGTATATTAAAGGACTAGGGTTCAAATCCCCACTTGGAGTTGGAAGCTCATTGGGGGTGTAGAACTGGTAAAACTACTCAACTATCTCACTTACCTTGAACTCCTTGTTGGGGTCATTGTAAGTCCAACTTGAAGGCACATAGCACAAACAAGCACAATATGGTGCTTTTGGAGGCTGAGTGGAGGCTGCTTGTCATGAAATTTTCAGAAGCACCCCATTAGTTTACAATCCTGTGTTGAGAGACACCTTGACCTATAAAATGAGAGAATAGTATGAAAGCATCTGCAAAATGTAGTCCCATATTATCTACTATATGGATGAGCAATGTGTGGCCTTATAGCTATTGGTTGACTGCAGAGCCTGTAATTGGCTTTGCTGGCTGGAGCTGATGGGAGCTGCAGTTCCAAACATCAAGGTAGATTACAAATTTCCCATCCTGGTCTACTAGAAGTACTTTGGATAGATCTTTTAAAGGGTTGCTGAAAACCCAGAAGACATTCATTGCCCACTACCATTGGACCCACATGTCTCCACTATCTACTAGCACAGAGTAAATATAGTTTATTACACTGGGGTGCACTCATGTCATCCAGAAACCAAACTGTTCCTATGTCTGATAAGAATAGAAAAAAGTGACCTCCTCCCTCACTCCTCCAACAGGACTCTGTCATTAAATCAAAGCTTTCTGCAAATAGAAGGGGCCATTCCTTTTGTGAGAAAGAGAATCTGAATCCAATTGAATATGCAGGCACTTAATTTTGTGGATATATGGGAGGGATGCTTTGGCTCCCAGTATAAAAAACAGAGACATCACCTTGCCGACAAAGATCTGCATAGTGACAGCTCTGGTTTTTCGAGTAGTGATGTGTGGAAGTGAGAGCTGCACCATAAAGAAAGCTGACTGCCAAAGAATTGATGCTTTTGAATTGTGGTGTTGGAGGAGGCTCTTGAGAGTCCCCTGGACTGCAAAGAGAACAAACCTATCCATTTTGAATCTCTGATATCAAGGCCGCTAAATCAAGGTTCCAATACTTTGGCCATCTCATGAGAAGAGAAGACTCCCTGAAAAAGACCCTGATGTTGGAAAAGTGTGAAGGCAAGAGGAGAAGGGGACGACAGAGGATGAGATGGTTGGACATTATCATCGAAGCTGCCAACATGAATTTGACTAAACTCCAGGCGGCAGTGGAAGACAGCAGGGCCTGCTGTGCTCTGGTCCATGGGGTCACGAAGAGTCGGACACGACTTAATGACTAAACAACAACAATCCTGTTTTATATTTGTTCAGTTCTTTTAAAATGGTATTGTAAAGGTTTGATTTCCAAACTAAAGAATGTTTATAGTATTGTAACTAACAACAGAGTAAAAACATAGTTTTAATGTTGTGATAATTTTTTCTTACTGTATAGTGAAGGCCATGGAAAAATATCTGTGTTCGCTGTCAAAATGGCCTTGGCCACACTTTGCGGGGGAAAGATCATGGACAAATTAAGATGTAAGTGTTGTGTTCACCATTATGTTCATTCTATTGTTATTTTTACTATGAAAGAGAGCCTCGCTTTAATTTTGACAATGGTAATATGAATCAAAACTAGCAGGTGTGCAAAAAAAGAAGCAGCCTGTTCTCATTTGGGATAGAGCCTCAAGAGAAAATACTCAGTATTGCAGATTTCTGTTCATCTGGAGTCAGATACATATGGTTGCTTTCCAGAGTTGTAGTATTAGAAAGATCATATGAAATCTCAAATGCATTGAGTGTTCAGCTCAAACCCTCACTTCCTCTATAGAATGTTTTCCATAATATTGAGGAAATGTAAAGATGCAATACAATTTGACTCACTGGGTTTCCATTACAGATTTGTATTTCCATTGTGCTCTCCAGGTTAAAAACCCAAAGAGATACTGAACTGGCACAGCTGTGAACCAGACACATAATGAACAAATGTCCCTCTGCCAGTGCTCTGTGATGTCTTTGTACTGGGAACCAGAAACAAGTCTAACAGAATTACGGATATCCTCACACATGATGCTGAAAGTGTAGCTTTGTTTCCTTTTTCTAAAAATCTATTGTTTTACATATTCAACATATTTAAACATTAAACGTGTAAAGTATTTGTTAAATGTTTCAAAGGATTGCTACTCCTCTGAGTCAGAAAACAGATGGAGGAAGGTGGTGAGCAAACTCATTGGAAAGTGTGCATTTTTTACAATGAATCACCATCTTTAAATGGATTGAAGTTAGCTAAAATCAAGATTGGTTATTGTAAGCACATTTGAAAAAAAAATAGCACAAGGAAGATATCAGCATAACTCCAGTTTAAGATATGAAATTCCCACTATATTAACATTTGTCTTCAATATTATTTGTTAATAATAATAATATTGGCCAAAATCATCTTTTGTAATTATGTTGGTGGAATGCTAGGGACGTGGTGGCGCTGTGGGCTAAACCACAGAAGCCTGTGCTGCAGGGTCAGAAGACCAAGCAGTCGCAAGATTGAATCCACGCGACGGAGTGAGCGCCCGTCACTTGTCCCAGCTCCCGCCAACCTAGCGGTTCGAAAGCATGCAAATGCAAGTAGATAAATAGGGACCACCTCGGTGGGAAGGTAACAGCGTTCCGTGTCTAAGTCGCACTGGCCATGTGACCACGGAAGATTGACTTCGGACAAAAACGCTGGCTCTATGGCTTGGAAACGGGGATGAGCACCGCCCCCTAGAGTCGAACACGACTGGACAAAAATTGTCAAGGGGAACCTTTACCTTTACCTTTACCTGGTGGAATGCTAGGGACACTTTTTAGGGGATTGTCCAAAGTTAAAAAATCAGTAATTTCTTACTGACAATTTGCCTCCAGCAGATAAGTTGTTAAGTGTTACAGCAGCATTACCACACAAAAGGATTTCGACTATAATAACAGCAGTAACAACATTATTTTTCTCAGCTCTACATTTGAAGCATAAGTTTGTTTTAGCGCAAATTTTGTACCTTGTGTCTATTTTATAGCCCCAAGGTACAAAATCAACTACTTTGATTCTTATGAAGGCAATATTTTGCTACATAAAAATAAAATATCTGTAATCAATAGTTTAAGTTCATTTCAAAGATTTAAAACTAGAGGCATAAACTATATTATTTCCATTTTCTCTCTTTTTCCATTAGATATTTTCTCAATGATTTCAGACACCAGTGGTGTAATGGTTTATGGAAGATATGACATGTTTCTACGGGAAGTCCTGAAACTTCCTACTGCTGTCTTTGAAGGCCCTTCTTTTGGTTACACAGAGCAATCTGCAAAATCCTGTTTTTCTCAACAGGTAGACTAATATGACAGTACTTTCCCTTTTAGCCCTTCCATAATGACATGCAATGAGAAATGTGATGGCATTTTGTTTACTTTTCAACTGGGTGTTGGACACTTCTCCAGTATTGTTTTTCTAACCAAGTTTCTTTGAAGTGACACGGGAGATAGATTAATAGTCTCCCCCACCTCTCTTGCCTAGTAACATAGTCTGTTACTTTTGAAATGTAATTTGGACTTTTAAAAAATAAATAAATAGAGCTGCAGAGTAGGTGTAAAATCACTGATCAGAGTAACAACAGGAAGGCCTGCATCTTTTCTCCTGTAGTGAGAAAAAGTAGCTGTGGGACAGAGATGTTGTTTGGGGGAAAACTGCTTGCATAGATAGGACTGAGCACCCCACCCCTTCCCTACTGTTGCTCCTCCACAGTAAATCTGCATCTGAGTATATTGTAGCAAAACACTTAGACAGAAACAGATCTTTGTGGGAAATGTCTTTCATATTTATGTCTGCTTTGGCTCTATAAGAACAAACTATTTGAACTCTCACTTTCCCACTACCTTTTCAGCAATACAGTTTATAATATAAAGGAATTCAGATTCAAAGGGAAATAGGCTTTCAGAGACTTTATGAGAGTCATAAAGGCCACAAAATTATTTTTACCGAGACTAACAATACTTCAAGCTACCAAACAAGACACAAAATAATAGCCAATCTATAGCTGCCTTTCTTATCCTTTTAGAACTTAGAACTTTACCTCTACATTTTACCTTCTGAGCCATCCTTCTCCTTGCTATCTTGGTAACTTCCATTTGTTCCATATAAATGTACACAAAGATCCTCCTTACACAGAGAAATAATACATATGAAACCATGGACAGAAACATGGTTGGACTAGAGCTGCAGTTCTTCTTGAGATCTTCTCAAACCACAGTGAGACAGTGGAGAAGTGTGTGTAGGCATCCTTCAGTCTCAAGAGACTATGGTAACGTGCTTTGTATGGAGGACTTGAAATAGTGTCTAGTGTGGCTAAGAAGGCCAATTCGAGAGTGACAATCCCTTCCACACTGAAGACAAATACAATTTGTCCCCTGTCCAGCTCCCTGATTTTGCTTCAACACTGTATGCAAAGCTGGAGTGTCCTCTCTAGAGCACAAAGCCTGGGTAAAATAATATGGAGGATAGGCTGTTACCCAAAGAGCAAATCCCCCCTCTCCACATTGCTGAAATAGTCCAATGGAAAGGCAAGAGCCAATACAAGTGGTTCCAGCGATGTCGCAGGAGTTGCCAGAACAATACAAACTGCCTCCAGGACTCCGGCTCCAGGTTTTGCCTTGAGGTTAACTCCTGAAGCCTTTTCCATCAGTGGATATAGTCACAAGGCAGTAGAGGTTTGAAATCAGAGTTTTCCTTCTTTTAGATGGGCTGCCTTCCAAGGCTGATGAGCCCCATCTATCGTGCCTGCTCCCTAATAGTGAGGAAGTATGATCCTACCCCTAAAACTTTCCTGCCCCCCAGGTGTATGCAATGCTATTTGGTTTTCCTATTTGCCAGATTAGAGTCAAATATAGAACTAGAGAATTTCGCATGCCGTTAGGCTCGCGTTTCTGTTCAGCCTCATTTAAAGCTAAACCCCTTCCCCCTCAGACTGTTCAGTCAGGGAGAAGAAAGATCAGCTTAGAAGAAAATACCTCACCAAAAATAAAATGTCCCCCCAAGCACAGCTCACCTCCTGCCTCAGCTTCCTTCTCAGGAAAAGGGCTTAGAGCTTCTGCTCAAACTCATTTAAAGCTAAACCCCCATCCCCTCAGACCATGCAGTCAGGGAGAACAAAGGGAGAAGTATATGGAAAATAAACCCCACAGGTGTAGTACAAAAGTTTTAACAGTTGTTTGCCAGGGAGCATTCAAAAGGGAAACTGTCAAAATATGCCAGGAAACAGTTTGCATTGTGTGATGTCATAATGGGAACTTAGTTACCAAGATTTTTATCCTGGGGGACCAAGAGAAATGCTTCAGGCTATATTGAATGTTGAAGCTGCTTATACTGAATCAGACCATTTGTCCATCTAATTCAAAGAGGGCTCTTGGTGATTGACACTGGCTCTCCAAATAACACCAATATTCTTTGTAGTTATTTAATAACAAGGTGATACTTTTATTAGGCCAAACATTTTTTTAAAAAAAAAAGGTACAAAGTTGTGTGCATGTTTTCTTAATGTATAAGATCTGGTCTGTTCTTGCTTTTCTGCCCCTTTTCTTCCCCACCACTACCAACCTTTTGTAAAAACATACATGAGGAAGGGGTACTGACTCTGAATGCTTGTTCACAATTTAATGTGTTTTTAGCAGATGTTGCTCACATGTAGAATTTAGGTTTTGGAGTTTGTGTTTACTGGCCAACATAGCTGCTTATGTATTATTTTGTTGTTATGCCACCAAGATCTCCTAGTTCAAAAATTGAGCAAGAGTCAATTACTACTCTCAGGACTCACTGAAGGCTGTGCCAACCACCCCAATGAGCAAAAAATTTTACAAAATCAAATTTGAATACTGCTGGAAAGTACTTCCTGTTTCATTGTTGTGAGTTTGGGTTGGTTAGGTAAGAGATCATACACCCTCTTTTATTGCAAAATCACCAGTCCTGCCAGCTTCCAGGAGTATAAAATTACTCTTAAAATTCAGGAAAAAAAACAAAAACAAAATCCAATGTGAGGGAGGGCATCCAGCAGCTCCAAAAATGAACTTGGAGCTCCATGAACCCTCTGGATTGTACTTTGTCCACCCTAACCTGAGTGGTAGACTAAACCTCAGATTCTGAAAATGCAAAATATGTTATATAACACTGATCTATGATTCCTCAACATAATTGAATCAGTAGGACTGATCTGAAAGACAGCGATTCCAACCCTGTAGGTGCAGCTACATCATATAAGGCTGGTGATGGCATCAACCATGACACTTTTTCAGAAATAAAAAAAAAATATGATTTTCCTGCCCTGAAGGTCCTGATGCTCCCATGGATGCCACCAGGATGATTTTCCTGGTGGTGGCTTTAAAAAAAAGACTTATCACCCATCCCACGCCCCCCCCCCGTGACTTTCTACAACAAAAGGGATTCTGTGGGATCTTTGGGACTTTTGGTAGAGAATCAGATGTTTTTTATTTCCAGAACATCACATGACACCAGCAGCCTCATCTGACCTACATCATCAGCCACAGTGATGTTTTGGAAGTAAAAGATAGCTGCATAAACAGGATTTCAGCCAAGAACTGTTGGATTTTTCTTCATCTGACATTATGTTTCCCATTTGTAAAATACAGGACAGTATGATTCTTTCATTAATTAAAAGTTTAAGATGTCATTCTTTCACTTTTTTTATTTCATCCCTATGGGCATGTTTTCTCTCCTGAAAGAATTTGAATCCCCTTTTAAACGTGTATTAATTTCTGCTTTGTTCATTTAAACAGAAGAAAGTCACACTGAATGCTTTCTTGGATACTCTAATGTCTGACCCTCCACCACAGTGTCTGGTCTGGTTACCACTTCTGCATCGATTGGCAAATGTTGAGAATGGTATGTAGTTCACAACATGAGTAGGAACTGGAATTTCAATGTAGTTCACAGTCATTCATTACATTTTTCTAAACAGAAGTTTTGGCCACTTTGCTACTGTAAAAGAAGAGAGGCTAAGAGTATGGTGCCAATTTGTGTGCCTAATCTTTTCATCCTTTTAGCTTGATCAGCTAGGATTAGAACAGGATGAAATACAGAAGAAATAGTTGTCAGATGGACATGGGAAAAGAAGAGTGCATTTACATTTTTTTCTAACAGGAAGGTGTGTGCTGTGCTTATTATTTATGTATTTATTTGCAATTACATTGTAGCTTTTCAGGAAGAATGAATGAAACAATGCATCCTACCTATATTCATTTGTTGCATTAATTTGTCCAAACTTCTACAGAGAGAGACTGGGTCTTTTTTTTTTCCTAAGTGATGGATGGGGAAAGTCATCTACTAGTATTTTTCTACATTTTGAAACACTGGGAACTTCAGAAGAGATTTTTTCCTCAGAGCAACAGAAGGAGAGGACAGGGTTAGAGTCCTGTTACATCCATGTGCTTCTCCCATTAAGTATCACATACATCCTGCTGATTCTATTGGCATTTTAAAATACCTGCATCTTAGAAGCATATTAAAGGTAGATTGAATGCGCTGTGAAATATGAACCTCTGACTCACTTTTTTTTCAGCTAGGCACAAGACTAGCCTTAGCCAAAGGGAGATGGTAGAGTCCTAGAACCACTGACAGACCTACTGCTGCAAGTCGGTCTCTGCTACTTGAGCTATCTGCTGTCAACACTCACCTTTTTCTCCTCATACCACTGTCTGCTGGCATAGCTTGGCCAAGGACCACCTTCCATTCCAACAACACCCATTAGAGGTGGAGGAGAACAAAGGGAAAGACAGTAGGAGCTCCACAACACTCATTGTCTGAGGAGCAACCCCTGGACCCATAATATTCAGAGGGAGATGGGAGATGGAGGAGAATGGGATAGCAAATATGCCTTCCTCTCCAGCACAACCCACCTGCAAATCCTGACAATCTTCAGCTACTCTGGGAATAACACCTTATCTTTTGGGTCAAGTTGTTATGAAGAGGGGTGTGATGTTTGCCCCTCGCGGCCCCTGTTTGTCTTCCAACCACAGAGCATGTGAAGGCAAACCAAACACCTTTTCCCATGCTGCCACCAGCTGATCGCTAAATCAACGTACTTTACTTAGGAAAGATGAAGGTCCATTCAGTTTTTACTTTTTCTTAAAACAGGTTTGTTAATTACAGATGTTTCTTTAATAATTCATAAGTATTTACTTCAGGTTCATCAAGCATCAATCTTCTATTTAAATCTCACAAGTTACTATTCACTCCTCAGACTAATCACTCCTCAGATTAACTCTCTCTCTCTCCCTCTCTCTTCAAACTCTCTCTAACTCTGACTGAACTCTACTCTCTGGATCCACCTTTTAGCATCTCTAGTGGCCCCACCTCTCAACCACATCAGCATAGAACATGAATAATGCATAGCTTATTTAGCATAATATGGTTGAACACCTCAAGGGGTAAGCAAGGACATTGCCTGTGTCCAGGCAACTTTTTTGCCCTCCCATGCTGATTAGATAGCACAGTGAGTTGAGAATTTGCTTCTCTGTTGTGTCTTCTAGCAGCAGAGCCAGTTTGTGTAGCCTTGGACAGTCAACACAGTCCCAAGGTGCTTCAAAAAGAAGAGAATGAGTAAACCCATTTCTGAGTATATAGTGCCTAGAAGACCCTGGAAAGGGTTGCCATAAGTCAGAATTGACTTGATGAGACATAATTATTAATAATTATAATGCCTTGGCCCTGAGAACCAGAAGGCAAGATATTATTCCCGGACCTGGCCAGGGAGCATATGGGGTATGCAGGGAGGTGGTAGCAGGGTCAAAGTCCCTGCCAAAGTTCTCTGCCTCTTTCTATTATGCCTCCTGCATTCTGTTGAATATAGTGGCGCCTGTGTGTAAGGGGTTCATGCTTATCTTCCCTCAGGCAGCTGGAGAGCTTGTACAGAATGGTCAGATCAGACACTAGTGAAATAAGTTCTTGGTGATCATGCTGAGGTTTTGCTTCTTTTCCAATTCTTCTTTCTAGTACTCAGAAATTATGCAAGGCTTTCAAGTGCGACTACATGTAAGACCAGGTGACCTGTATAAGTTGCTCCCTGCTCCATTGCTTGGTTTCTGACTTTGTAAAACACAGACTTTTGTGAACTTGCAGTGTCATTTCAAGATGGTTAAGAATGCCACTTCATCATAGGATCAGGCTACAAGCTGTTGTCTTTCCTTTTCCAATTAACTGAAGTATATTTCCCCCAATATATTATTTTATTCTTCCCCATTTTGCCTTGCTAGTTCTCCTTATGCTAGAAGATCTTTTCTCTTCAATAATAATATACTATTTTATCTTGGGGAAAACATGGGAAGCATTTCAAATTTCAGACAATTTTTCAAAATAACATTTGGTGCTAAAAATCATCACATATAAAAAGAGGTCCTGTGAGTGGCCTCACTTGTAATAGTGCACTGATTGTTTGTTCTGTTTTGTTTGTAAATTTATCTCCCTTGTAGTCTTCCACCCTGTTGAGTGTTCCTACTGCCATAGCGAGAGCATGATGGGATTTCGCTATCGATGCCAGCAGTGTCACAATTACCAGCTCTGTCAAGATTGCTTCTGGAGGGGACATGCCAGTGGTTCCCATAGCAACCAGCACCAAATGAAAGAATACACATCATGGGTAAGGGAAGGTTCATGAATTGCTGCAGACTCTTTGAACTTCACCAGTCAGAGAAAGAAAATCTCAAGGATGGGAATTGGAACTGACCAAATCATTTCCCCTAAAACCACATTTAGAAAACCAACTTTGTCAGTTTAGCTAAGCATCTCTATAATGGAGAAACCATGGTGCCTGCTCCCAGTCAGTTCTGAGAGGAAAAAAGGAAAGAAGTGAACAATGTGGCTATCCCCAGTGTGGATTTGAGCAGTGTTTATTCTATACTGGATATCAGGACAGCTGCAGAAGGTTCTTGGAATATAAAACTTATTTTCACAGTAAGTTGTTCATTTTTATAGGACATAGTCAAATATACTGTTTTTTCCTCTCATATTGTCTGCTTGATGTGTTAAGAGATATAAACCTCAAAAACTATTATATTTAAATAGAATCTAAAAAGAACCATGTAAGATTTTGATAGTGTTCAGCTCTTTTATTAAAGGTATTTATAAAAAGTTGTTTAACTACTTTCTAACTACATTTAACCATTTATAAAAAGTCACTAGAAAAGTAGGCATGCTATTTATTCAGTAATAATCAGTCACTATAATTTCAAGTGTTCCAGAATGGTCTCTTTTGCACAAAGTTAGACCATATAACGTTACCTCATTTGCTGCAAAGAGAATAAGCTGTATCATTCCATGTTTATATCTCAGAAAAAAATTTGAATCCAAATTTGATGTGTTCAAGCTTGTATATGATGTTACACATTTTTGTAACAACAAATTCCATTTGACCAGCGTTGTTCTCTAAAAGCTATTTAAGAACTGTGGTTTAATTAGGATGTGGCTCAGGCTATGGATGCGAGGGATGACATTTGTCAAAATGGAGCCTTTCATCACTGCTGTGACTCATGCCTCAGCTGCATTACTAGAAAGAATGCAAGTGAAACTATCACAGTAGAAATATTATATTTGCTTGATGACTCAAATTTGAGATTGTCAAAGAACAAAAAAAAGACTGAGAAATGAAGAGCTATGATTGCTATTTGGCAAATCTAAGGGGTTAAATGACTCAGTGGATCAAATACCATGAGAGATGGTTTCTACTAGCTGCTTCTGAACTCTCAGTTCTTTGATGTGGATATCATTCACAAGCCGCTAAAGGAGGAGTATTGTTACATATTTCTTTGTTTGTAATACTTTTATGACCAAAGTCCCCCCACTTTTTTTGTCATATAAAAAATTAACAATGTCAGGTTTACTAGGTTCCACGTCTGATTTTTTCCATAAGTGGCTAACCAGATATTCCTTTAAAAACAAAATATAGCACTACAGGGAAAAACAAAAGAAAATCCACAGCTGAGCAGTTGTTTTGAACCAAAGCATGCAGACTTTTGAGTTTTAAATAACACATCATCAGGCTAAGTGGTATCAATAGTTAAGTGGTGGGAAATGTCATGGAGCTGCACTTCTCCAGCAATGCTTTACTAGCTATGCTCTATGGGGCTGATGGAAGTGACAAACCAAAGGATCTCAATGGCCAAAGTTTTCTTACTCTTCAAATAGGGGATGAGAGTACAAACAGGAAAGTCAATAAATTAAGCCACGTGTAATGGCGGTGAGGGATTCAGTTATAAAATGGAGACTGCAGACTGAACGAATCACTGGTTACACCTAGTCATGCAAAATGAGGAAAAGAAGCAATGGCTAGTCTGAAAATACAGAGGCCCGTCATCTGTTGTTCTTTTACCCATCTTGCATCTCCCTTCTGAGGGAGCTGTGCAGGAATAATATATATATATATTATTCCCGCACAGCTCCCTCAGAGGGGAGAGGCAAGATGAATCAGGAAATGTATACTGTACATTTAAATTCAGGATCACTCCAAGGACATTAAAACCTCTGTAAAAATACTGGATAGATTTCTAAGAATGGAAAAACAACTCAGAATGTGATATTGAATTCAGCTGATGGGTGGGCTTTGTGTAGAGGATATACTTATAACATTGTAGACCATTGTGTTTCCCCTCCTCATAGTTTTGTATTAATAGAAGCAATTAAAATGTTAACTGCCCAAATTTACCTTTACCTTCCTTGTTCCTCCCAGAAATCACCTGCTAAGAAGCTAACTAATGCACTTAGCAAGTCTTTAAGTTGTGCTTCCAGCCGTGAACCTTTGCATCCAATGTTCCCAGACCAGCCTGAAAAACCACTAAACTTGGCTCATATTGTGTAAGTATTGTGTGCTCTGGAGGTAATGCCCTTTTTAAAGACAATCTGCTATTTATCCTGGTGTTGCGATATAGCAACAGAGACTTCTTCATACCTGATTTTATGGGACTTCTCAGTAAATAATGTTATCTAGTAAAACGTGCCATTAGAGAATGGATTTACCATACATAGCTCACCTTTGTAATGTTGAAAAGTCAAGGAGGACATACAAAAACAAACAAGTTTGTTGGTTTTTTAAGTAAATGCTTTGGTTAAATCATTATGCAAATATCACTATGGCACATTCTGGAGAACTTTTTCTAGATTTCAGTTTAGCACATCCTAAATTTAGCAGGACACATTGTTTAATTTGATTCAGCACTAATTTGGCTTCAAGAGAGGGAAAGTAAAGCAAGTTTAGAAAAGAAAAAGAGAAAACTGATGTTATTTTTCTAAATCTAAAAATAATTTTCAAGTTATTGGTCCTTGGTGGATTGATTTGGAATGAGAAATCGTTGCCAACTTCTCAGGTACAAAGAATGTTCTCAGTGTTGAGAACCTCAGAAGACCTACAGACCTCTATGCCAACTATAAGGTTTTTTTAAAAGATCTGATAGATATGTTGGTCAACTAGAAGAAAAATCATTGCAAGAAAAACTTACTTTTATTAGCAAGTTGTGTTAGATTTATAGGTAATTCAAGTGATAAGCTTTTGTGTGTGGGGGGGTGCTTCTTATTTCAGAACATTCCTTTGACATAGAAAAAGCACAGCTAAAAGCCTTTCCATCAATATATATTTCTATATGTGCCAATAACTATTTTAAAATTTAGATACAATCATTTATTTATATGGGTCCCTGTGTGCAGTCCCAAGTGATGTACCCCTTGGCCTCTGATAATGAAGCAGATTTTCCTCTAAGTCACTGAAGTAATAAAATTTCTGTAGTATGTTTAAATACACAATTAAATATCCAAGTGCGCTCAGGTATATGCAAACTTTCAGATAATCAGATTATGGACAGAATCATTCTGACAAGGGTAATTCCAATAATAGTTTTTTTAATGTGTTGTTTTTGTGCAATGCACAGAATTTACCTCTATTGTACACACTTTATTTTGGACATAATGAGACATTATCCTGTGCAAAATAGTTTGATGTAGGCATGGAAAACAATTTCTAATCGTAGATATTTTGGGAATGGAATTTCTCCACCAGTACTGCCAGATCCCAAATTAAGAATGTGCTGAAATCCAGAAGTGATCCTACCTCCCAGACTTATTCACTTTCATTACAGCCAGATACCCAATCCACTGAATTATCCAGTCAAAAAGGGGGAAAACACCCCTGAAATTGTATGTGGGTGGGTTTGTATTTAGAGGGCCACTGAAGCCTTTCATAAGATGCTTTTGTTAAACTTATGAATAGGAAGGATGGAACACAGAAGAAACAACAGCTTCTGTGATAAAGCTACCATGACTATCAGATTCTGATTGTTGGACAGTTCCTCTTTAATGACCTTGTAATGGCCTATAATGGCCCATCATGAAATGCAATCTGATTCAGGTGGCAGGGGAGGACAGGCGCACAAAGACCAGTCTTTGCAGTAGATCAAGATGTCACATTTGGGAGGTGAGGAAGGAAACTTGCACAGGATAACCTCTAACTTTTACAAGGTAATACAAAATATTTTCTGTACAAAGTAATTTTATGCAAAAAAGCAGGTGAAAGGGCAAAAAAGGGAGACCAAGTGTCTCATTCTTGCAGTGCTAGAGAATCTTGCACTTGCAGAGAAAATCAGGAGGAGTCTGGGCATTAAAAGAGAGAAAATGAAACCATTTCAAGTATAAGTCACATACATAGCAACCAATTCTCCCATTATGCAATGAGTATTAAATAGTTCATCTCTTTGTCACAGAGCTTTATTTTGATGTTCCATGTTTCATTTAACTTAAGTCAAAACTTTACAATGTGCAGCTAATCAGTCTGTCTTTTTCATTGTCTACTGCATGTGTGATGCAGGAAGCACAAGTAATATGACATAATATATTGATTGTCTGTGGATGGCTTCACTGTTGGAAGTCACTTAGCCTGCTTTGACATGAAGAATCTCATACAGATATTAAATACTGTGCTCTGATTGCTAAGATCACTCTAAAGAAATGAGCTGTTATTATGAGGCTAATCAGTGAATTGTACTAATAAATGGAATGTCTATGATGAAATTTTTAGCAGAAGCTGTGTTAAATAGCTGAAGTGCACTATTTGTCTAAGCATAACAACTAGTGATTTCCAAACCTGCCTCTTCCTTTAGAATTAACTTCAAAATTAAATTGGCACCTGCAAAGAACATTGGTTTGAAATGATAAGATTTGATTTCTTAGATGGCAGAACAGAAGATGCTAAAGGTTCAGCCACTTAAGTGGGAACAGTCTGCTAAAGACTAAATAAATAAAATAATTTTTCCCAAATAAAACTGGGAAATGATTTCAAAAGCAAACAATTGCTCTGATTTATTCTTGATATACAGTGGTGCCTCACTTGACGAGGATAATTCGTTCCGTTGAAATCGCTATTAAGCGAAATCCTCGTCAAGCGAAACAAAAAAGCCCATTGAAATGCACTGAAAACCAGTTCAATGCATTCCAATGGGCTAAATACCTCAGTATCCAGCAAAGATCCTCCACAGGGTGGCCATTTTCGTGCCTGTAAAGCAAGGAATCTGTCCTAAAGCACAGCGGGGAGCCATTTTGCATAGCAGGCGGCCATTTTAGAGCCGCCAATCAACTGCTTTAGAATTATCGTCTAGCGAAAAATCGGTTCCTGAAGCAGGGAACTGATCATCATCAAACGGAATTTCTTTATCCAAACATCATTTTACAATCGCTATTGCAATCTCAAAAACCTTATCATAAAGCAGATTTGTCGTTTAACAAGGTAATCATTAAGCGAGGCACAACTGTACTGTAGTTTGGAATTGTGAGCCATAGGATATTAATAGAAGGTTATTACTGCATTTGGGCAAATTTTAAGGTGTAGTGTGTCTGCAAACTTTTCCATGTGACCTTTCAATGAATACAAAGCCACAAAAAAAAGGTATTTTAATCTTGGGGACAGTGTGGAACTGATGGTCTCTTAGTAATATAGAAGGTGGGAATGTACATTGCAATGTATATCTACTGTAATGCTCATATGTGCAAAGGGTACGTGTATTTAATATTTTGACCATAAAAAGAATTTATCAAACAATGGCAATATTGGCTCAAGACTTGTTGCTGCCTGAGGAAAAATGCCCCCACTTCCCAAGTCGTATCATACCCAAACTCAATCAAATTCCACAAGCATCTTTTCCCATCCCTGTCAGTAAAAATGTAACAGTAAATTATTATCTGAGAGTCTGATGTATTTTCATGACATCATGCTATCTGAGACAGCCACTTCATCCTGCATTATGGTATGTTCAATCCTGTTTGAATCATAGCCCTATGGCTACCATGCTAGTCCTAAGGGCAAAAAAAAAGTCCTCTGCCATTCAGATAGAACTTCCAGCCATAAATCCTTCTACGAGAGGAATCCAGGCTATCTGAAAAATAGTATTGTCCCATATGAGCCTACCTGGAGCCTGCCTGGGTTCTGCAATTTTCAGAGGAGGCCCTTCTGTTAGCCTCACCACCCTCAGAGATGGATTTGGTGTGGACAGGAGAGAACTTTCTCAGTAGCTGCTGACAGGCTCTTCAGGTCCCTATCAAGGCAGACTCGGTGGCTTCTGAGTCTTGTCATCTTTGTGCTATCTGGGAAAGATCTTTTTATTCAGTTGGACATTTGGCTGCTTAACAGAGCAAGGGACTTTTAATGAGTGGATGCTATGCTTTTTCATGTATGTCTGTATAAAATGCCTTTAATTCATGTTTCAATAATAACATTTGTTTACTTGACTTTTAACATTTATAACTTTTTTTTGTACCTTTTTCCTTAATCGTACGAGCTATCATGAACAATAGTTTTGAGAGAAACACAACATAAATCAATAAACTGAATTAAGTAAATGAGTAATATATTTCCATCTCCCCGTGCATGGTTCTTCCTGAAGCAGAGGACCTCATCCTGTTGCATGACAGGAATGATCCTAAAAGGGAACCCTTTAATATTTAATATATTTCCACATGAAAAATAAAAATGAAATTAAAATGAATCATAAAATTCTTGTTTGTTTTAACTAGTGTTTAGAATAAACCACTCTGACCAAAAGGCTTTGTCTAAACCTGTATCTTTATATGAAATATGAATATTTATATACATCCCTTCAAAACTAATGAAAGAATTTGTGACTGATCCCCATCCCTTGTTTTCAAAGGGAGATGCAGCCTTCCTTGTGTCTATTTATTGGAATTTAGCATGCAAAAGATTATAGCTTTAAGCACAATTAGTGTAACCTAGGCTGCAGCCAATGCTTCACTACAAGAAAGCATATAGATTTGTAAAAGGAAATTAACCACATTTTTATACCCCTTATAAAAACAACCAGCAATCTGGTCTATTTTGACCATAAGATACCTTTCTCTTCCTTACCTCCAAATCCATGTGTCATTTTTTTTCTAGTGAAAAGATTTAAAAACAATGATACAGAAAGAAAGGTGACATAAATGAGAAGGGAAAGTTTCATTACATGAAGTCTTTGAGAAATTTTTCTTACTAGAGTGGTTTTGATTTCTCAAATGTAATGGAAGATAAACTGTATCATGAAAAACAGCTCTAGGCAGGCATCCAAGCAAAAGGGTATTTATAACCACTTTTAATGGTAGACTTCATGCTAGCAAAGTCTTCTCCTAGCCTGCAGCAAACGCTTTTAGTAAGCACACACATCTTTTATAGAATGATTTCTGCATTTATACTTGCGTTTTGCACAGGTCTTATTGTGGTATTTACCGATACCGAGTTCCTATCCACATAAGTATTTTCAAACTTTGTTGAATGCCATGTAATAACTGCTATAACTGCTGTAAGCAAGCCATATAGTTTAACTATTTGCTTTCCATCAGTGGAATAAGCTAGCCATAGTAGGTATGTTGGGGTGAGTCCCCGTTAGATTATGATCTGATCAGTGTTTTGGTGATTCCAGTTTACCATTACTCACTGAAAGAGTGACTTCTATCAGTGGTTAATGGTAAACTGGAATTACCCAGAACAACTGTCAGCGAAATGAAGAGGCAATTGATTCCTCCATCTCTCCACAGTCCCAACATGTGCCTTCAAAATCTGGAGTACCTATTCTCTGAAGCAGCTGGAAAGGGGCTACAGGGGAGAGGAGAGGAGGGATGAGTTCCATTGCATAAATAAATATCATACAATACTTGTATCCGGGGCTGGAAACAGACATATATTATTTAAAGGCATATTTAGCTGCATTAAGTTGCACAGGTATATTTCAAGTGCTATGTCATACTGTTGGTATTTGAGAAAGGGAACCTTATGAATGGTAGCTCTCTGTGTGTATATATTTTATGAATTTTACAAAATCATCTAGTTATTATGAAAAAATATGACAACTGTCCTGATCTTGTGCAGTTAGATTGGAATAACTAGTTAAATGGCTTGTGAAATTGACACACAATAGGACTACTGTCATCCCAGATCTACTGCCTGTAAGATCAGAGTATTATCCATGAAACAGGTAGAATTTTCTTGTCTTGAGCAATTTTTTCAAATAAAATATTTCATCTTATTTTTTTTTTTTAATTTTACTTTGGCTGCAAAAGAGATACTTGGTAAGTAAAGCATTAACTCTTCATACATTTTTGAGACAGTGAAACAAGTCTTATGACTATTAGATTGTTGATGGAAGATGTATCGGAAATACTTGGCGATCGGATAGAACTTGCTGGCAACTTCGTGTCTCTGAGACTTTTTTCTTCTTCCTTCAACATATTCTCTCAAGTCCCTACAAGATCCTGTTATTTAGAGAATATAGAAAAAAGACCCAACAAATGAGCACCCTTCCTCCCTCCCTAATCACAGAGAATGCAGGACCCAAACACGGGAGAAAAGGGGGACATTCAAGCCAATCAGATGTTTAAGCAAGACTGGCAAAACTTTGGACATTAGATTTCTGGTCTTCCTCTGGATCTGTTGTTTCCAACCTTGGATCCCCAGTTGTTCTTGGACTAAAAGTATTATCTATGCTGTGGTGGCCAAGATTTCTGGGAGTTGTAGTTCAAGAACATCTGGGCACCCAAGGTTAGGAAGCACTGCTCTAGATCAAAGTGAGGTGAGGTATTCAATATGGTATTCTAGAGTCCTGTGCCAGTGTTTACCTGTGTAGGGAGATGGATGTGTCGCACATGTAAGCCCCACACCGTAAAATCTCTCAGCTCCAGCAGAATTATGGACTTCACTTGTTGAGTACAAGAGTCTGTCAATGGTTCTATAACCCAGCATTGCCAAGTTTCATAATCACAGGAGCTGTGTAACTGCCTGCAACCAAGCACTGTTACGATGCCCTCTTCAAAACTTCATAGAGTCTGTGACAATGCTGGGCATGCCACAAGTTTCAGAGGTAGGCTTTACATGGGCACCTATGTCCCCATCGCTTCTTGAACCCTATGTGAGCAGCGAACATAGAGTTTAGGGCTTAGAGTTCAAGAATCAGAAAGAAGTAAAACAAGTTTTCTCAAAAATGATAATGGTCCCTTAGTTCCTGCTGACATTTCCCGAACTGAAAAAGCCAATTTAGTTGTCTTTTCAGTTCCAAAACTTGGCTTTTGCACAACAGATGCTGGTGTAGCACATACATATAGCTCTTTCTCCATGTAAGTTGCCTCCACTGAGAAAAGTATTAGGCAGTGTTACAATGTAAGTGTTCAAAATACAAATGCAACCTCTTTAAGGCCCAAATAAAATAATGCCTGAACAGTGTTGGAAGTGATGGTGCATTGTTACTTCCCCTACCCTTTCTGAAAATGTGCAGTGAGAGGTCACATATCAGGACTGATTGATATGGTTGTTTCTCATTTTATGGTGTTCTCATTGGTATTGCATGTCACCATGGGAGTCGTTCTTTGTGAACTGAATTTCAAGCATGTTGCCCTCACTATATTAATTCAATGTGAAATTTGCTAGCATTTGTGGGTAAGGTTTCTGCTCAGTGTTCCAGTGCCATGTATGTTGTCCCACAAATAATTTTTAAAGCTTCTGAGGCAGATGAGTGAAATAATAAATTAGGGCTAATATATTGGAATCCCATATAAAGAGGTTTTCTGCTTTCAAAAATGGGTCTCTACATGTTTATTTCCTCTGTGAAAGGGCCCCAGTTCTTTATTCACAGTTAGTGTGCTACTAATCATATTTGTAAATAAGTGTTCCTGAGCAATTTTCTTTTTAGAACACAAATTAAGAATATTATTGTCACAAAGAAAAAGTTCAGGATAGTTTATGATAATGGAACTTCCCCACCCCTTTCATTGCTACTTGAATAAAACACCTCAAGGCTAAGGGAAAATCAACTGAATGTTCAAAACAAACATGTATCACAAATATACTGCTAAAAGTAATAAATATTCATATATAATCCTTGATGGCCTGACATTTCATAATAGCAAGTGCCAGTACAGTGGACCCTTGACTTATGGAGGTCCCTACTTACAGAAATTTTGAGATACGAAAAGCTCCAGCTGCAAAATTTTAATTCGACTTGCGGCCGGAGCTTCGACCTACAAAAGGCAGGGAAAAGGGTGGGAAATTCAAAGCAGCCCCCGCTGCCCTCTTGTCTCCTGTCCCCGGTGCCCTCTGCCTCCTGCCTCAGGCAGAGGGCACCGGGTACAGGAGACAAGAGGCCAGTGGGTGCACCTTTCTAAGCCCTGAAAGCTGACAGCGGGTGCAGAGCGGCTTTTGGATTGCAGCTTTGGAAGCCGGGCAGCCGAAAACAGCTCTGCAGGGCTTAGAAAGGTACACCCACTGGCCTCTTGTCTCCTGTACCCGTTGCCCTCTGCCTGAGGCCCCTAAAGCCGATACGCCCAAAAGTGCTCCATGCCCGCTGCCAGTTTTCAGGGCTTAGAAAGATGCACCCACTGGCCTCTTGTCTCCTGTCCCTGGTGCCTATCCCACGAGGATGGGAGGCAGAGGAGAGTGGGGATAGAAGGCAGAGGGGAGTGGGTGCAGCTTTGGAAGCCCGGGATAATTTTTCTTTGGCTGGAACGGATTAAATGGTTTTCAATGTACTCCTATGGGAAATGGACCCTCGACCTACGGAATTTTCGACCTGCGGCCACAGTTCCAATATGGATTAATTCCATAAGTCGAGGGTCCAATGTATATTGGCTGCTTGAAATTCAAGTTGTACATACTTACTTTCAGTGGAAAGTAGTTTATATGACTCTTTCACCAAGTGGGTCCTCTGATCCTCCCCCTGCCATAGCAAATTTACTTGCAAGACTATTTCCTGTGATATGGTGAAAAATTAAAGCCCTGCCTGGTGATCTGTTACATACAAAGAACTGGCTAGATAGGAATATTCACACAGATCAACTTTAAAGAGACCTACACATGGCCATCTGCTTGTTGTTTCAACAGAAATTGAATCACTTGAGGGAATGAAGTGAGTATTGTGGTGCTCAGGTCTCCCTAAGGAGCATATGGCCTTTGGGCAGGGAGTTCCACAGGCCCCAAATCTACTACTTTATGCTGAGGCAACTCCTCAACCTTCAGCAGTGCATAGCATCTGTGCCTTGAACAAGCCTGACCCTTAAACAACACTTTACTCAGCACTTTGCAAGTACTGCAACATGGGCTTTGTGATTCCTTAGAACTCACAACAACTCATTTAAATACGACTTCTCTATGTAGCTAATCAATGGCCTTTACCACTCCTCTGGATTTAGCCAAACCCTGCTGGTCCAAGAGACTAGTCCTCAGTTAGAATTTTTATAATTATTTTTATTAAGAAAATATAGTTTCATAGAAACAATTTGTTTGCTTAAGCTTAGCATAAAGACATGTTCAAAGGATTACCATAGTTAAATACAACAACTACTTCCCATTAAAACACTAAACACTGAGCTAAGGTGGGCTAGCCACACCTCCTCCTTTTTTTACCATGCTACATTCTTTTTCTGTTCAGCTATATAACACAAACCATCAAGAACTTCTCTCAGGAAAAAGTTCTTTTCCACAAAATGGTCTCTTATCAAACATAACCCATCATCCATTTTCTACATTCCTCGGACCTCCTTCTTCATGGCTGCAAACCAATTAACTCAAAGAGGCGTAACTGCTCACTCCTCTTCCAATTCTCATGGAGATGCTGGTGGGTTATCTTCATTCCAATTAGACAGGAATTTGTTGGGTCTTGGCACTGGGGCCTCTTCGTCCTTGCACTCTTGTCAGGATTCATTCTGTACCAGCCTGGCTGTAAATTAGGAAAAACAGCCTCTCAGCCTTTTCCTCATTCCCATGTCTTCAACTCCTTTCACTTTGAATCCTAACAGACTCCATTTTCTCTCATTCTCCCTGACTACAAATCCCACTCTCCTTCAATACCATGACTGGTATTTTTTTTTTCAAAAACAGGGCAGTATTTCTTGTTACAGAATGTTAGACCAATGAGAAATAAATGATATGGATAAACAATTTGAAAGTTGCTAAAAGGATTCCATATTCTATTTTTAAAAGCATTTCTGTAGGCTTTGTGGAAAACACCGCATAGTGAAATTATTTTTCTTAGTCCCCCACAAAAAAGTAGATTATGTAATTTGCTGATTGATAGCATCTGCATGTATCAACAGTCTATATTTGCTGCTGCATAATACATATATAAAAACATTTTCTGAAGTATTAAATTTTCTTTCAAGGCCTCCCAGACCGGTCACCAGCATGAATGATACACTGTTCTCCCACTCTGTTCCCTCAGGAAGCCCGTTCACAAACAGAAGGTGAGTCTTCCTCCTAATTACTCCTTTTCAGATGGAGCAATTAAACATGTCCTTTTATTTTATATTTCAGCCTCTAATGTCATAATGAAAGTGGCAGAAAACAGGGACAAAATTGCCCTAAATCTTTTTCATGATTGGGTTTTAAAAATGGTTTAAAATAAGAAACAAATTTGTATTTATTTATTACACTTACACCCCACTTTTCTTTTCAGTCATAGACCTCATGGAAGTATACATACAGAGTTCCCAAGGGATCTTCCAAACCTGCTTTCCTTCAACAGTTTTGATGCATCGTGTGCCTTCTGACCATTCTCTGTGTAAAGGCATAATATGTGCACAAATTTAACAGTTTCACTCAAATGGTTTTCTGGAAAAGAAATGGGCTAGAATCTCATGCACATCCCTCTTCCCCCGCATCCCATTCCTCCTCAAATCTATCTTAAGAGGAGACTGAAACTGTGGTTTCAGTGCTCCTTGCAAACCAGCATTACAAACCATATTTTGTAATCTTGATTTGTAATAATAATAATGTGCCTTCAGGTCAATTCTGACATAGCAACCTTTCCAGCATTTTCTAGCTCTAGAATACTCAGAAGTGGTTAACTATTCCCTTTTCTGTGGTACCCTGGAACTGTGCAGTTCATCCAAGGCGACACAAACTGGCTCTTCTCTTTGGATGCAAAGTTGGGGGGGGGGGATCAACCTGCAAATCTCTGGTTCTGCAGCCAGCTACCTAACTCATTGAGCTAATGTAGGGGACACTTAAATCACAGTTTCCTGGCTTGGACATCACAGGAATCTGGGACTTAACAAATCAGAAAGTCTTTGAATCAAGTGCAGAAAAGGAGGGAGGGGAGAGGAAAGATTGTTTAAGGTCATTTTTCATTTCCCCTCAAAGTGTGGCTTATTGGAATAGCAATATAATATTTCTAGCATGTGCTAGAATAAAGTCTTACCATCATAGTCAGGGCTTGAAAAATGCACTTGTCCACCAGTCTGCTCATGGAGTCTGCATCTCCATGAGAAGAAAAATGCTGCTTGATGAGCCACAGCTCCCTGCCTCCTTACCCTCTGCCCAACTCTCTCTCTCTTTCTAATCCTGCAGTCCTCCCCTCCTCCCTCCCATTGGAAAAGGAAAACAGCCGTCTACTCACAAGCAGAGAGTTTGAGTGGCACATAGAGATACAGTATAGCTCTGCAGGAGAATGTAGAGTAGTCCCATGCTGGAGAATATGGACATTCCCTGCTCCCAGTTTCAACTGAACAAGGACGAAACCGTGGCTCCTGACGAGGCTGGGCACTTTTGCTTCCAGTTTTATTTTTGCTGGAGACATTCAAAAGAAAGTCATTCAAAATACAAGCTTCATGACTCGACAGGCATGCAGGTAATAAAGCAACCCAAGTCTGAGGGCATAAATCAGTAATTCCCAATCCCAATAAATTGCAAGGCTATAGTCCAGTCATACTGACTGGTGAAATTTTTGACTGACTGGTGAGACATTCTAAAATTTTTCAAGCCCTGATCATAGTAACGTCAGATTACTCCACTCATGTGAATATTGCTACTGAGCAAGCAAAGGGGTGGAGTTTCTTCACGGAGAAGAGCAACAGTAGCACATATGCAAATGGAACAGTGCAATATTACTACACCAGTGGGATTTTCTTCTCTGCAAAAGCTCGATAAATAGTGGTGGTTTTTATGTTTAAAATCCATGTCTTGGAAGAAAATACAAAGCGCCTCACATTTAGATGTGCATTGTTTTAAAACAAGACTGTACTGAAAAAGACTTCCCATAAGAAACAAAACACACCTTGTTTATAGACAACTAGAGGTTGAATAGGTTAAAATGGCATGGCTTTATGTTACCTTGTTACTTTATACACTTAATTCAAAAGACCATTGCCAAATGTTCATATAAACATAAAATCTGACAGTATATCTGGTCCAGCAGTGATCAGCTGGATACTTTTGTGAAACTTGCAAGCACAGCGTTAAAGTAACAGCCCTCCCCTTCAGGCACACTGTCTCTGCAGGTAGAGATTCAGTTTAGCTAAGACAACAAATACCTGTGGGTTGAAATTCAGAGGTAATTCACAAATAAAGTAAGGTAATTGACTTGGTGGGGATTTGGTAATTTCCACTGACTCAGTGGGCCTACTCAACTCATAATTTATTAGATTTCTGCCACTGAGATACTTGTATCCTCCATCAATTTATCTAGCACTGTTTGAGAACCATGTAAGCCACAATACATCATTACATCTCTTAATGGTAATTATACATTGTGTAAATATTTTAAAAGCATAGTCTTTTTTTACTATTTCTATTACAACTGTGGTTGTATTTTACTTAACTTTTAACAAGAATTTTTAGGGGTGGTGTAAATGAGTACAACTTGTGTTTAAATTTGATTATGAGTATTGTAAGCCATTTCTCCAAACTACTTCTTCCAAGAAGTTGTCATGCTCAGAGGCACACTGTTTGTGAAGCACAGCAGCCATGAGTTTGTGTGTTGCATCTGTTTGACACAAAAGGTTAACCATCAGCAAATACACACATACAGTGACTATATACCACATAGTTATAATCAGTATGTAGAATGGCATCTGTCCTTCATTGATTTAGCTATTGTGGTGGAGGTTCAATAATGTCAGGTGTGGCTGTTATTTGTAATGTGTTTGTTGTCCTCCATGTTCTGTTATTCTGGATGGCAGTATGGAAGATATATCATGACTGCTTAAGTGCATGCAGGAAGTTATGTTAATTATATTAATGTTGAAGCTTAACCTTGATCCATAAATCTCCTGTAGTGACAGCAAAGACTTTGTGCAGTGGCCAGTGGTAAATGTTGTCCTGTATTATTGTCTTTACAGACAATTATTGTCTGTTTTTTTAACTCTTAACATTTGTTTCCTGCACACAATGACATTCCAGTGAAGTGATATATTGACCAGAATAATCATTTTTCTTTTCAAACCCTATTTATGTCAGCAACATTTTTTATTTTATTGTTAATAATACTAGTATTCTGTCTACAGTCAATGTGAACTGAGAACATTCTCAGTTCAAACCAAACATTTCCCTATATGTATTTTGTTTGCATGAATTGTTAATGGAGTTTCACTGTTTGAATCATTCAGGTTGCTTGAAAGTATAAATGTAACCAGTCCTGTGGCTGATGAGCATTCTATTATAAAACTGTATGTAAATCAGCTTCTCAAGAATTCATGGTCAGTATAAGAGCACTAAACCACTAACTAATGTAGTATTGTAGCTTGAACACTAAAATCAATACATTAATACAGTGGTGCTCGCTTGACAAGGATAATTCAGTCCATTCAAATTGCTGTTAAGCGAAATCCTCGTCAAGTGCAATGAAAAAGCCCACTGAAACGCATTGAAAACCGCTCAATGCTTTCCAATGGGCGAAATACCTCAGCGTCCAGCGAAGATCTTCCATAGGGCAGCCATTTTCTGGTGCCTGTAATGCGAGGAATCTGTGCTAAGCACAGCGGGGAGCCATTTTAAATAGTGGGTGGCCATTTTGAAACCCAACAATCAGCTGTTTTCTGATCGTTGTAAAGCAAAAAATCGGTTCCCAAAGCAGGGAACCGATCATCGTGAAGCGTTTTTTCTCATTTAAATCATCGTTTTGCGATCGCAATAGCGATCGCAAACACTTCATCATTAAGCGATTTCCTCGTCTAACGAGGTAATTGTCAAGCGGGGCACCACTGTATATTAGTCATTCAGCAGAATTACTAATGATGGCCGAAGGGGTGCCATTTTTTTAAATGGGGCATTTATGCTTATAGTGAAACTTCAGATAGGTTTCATGTAGGAACATTCCATTTTCAACTTTCATTTTGTATAAGAGAAGTATTTAAATGCAAAACATGTATCTGAAGCAGTTTTCAGCTGACCCATGAATTTTAATTTGATTGAATTTCTCCCAAAGCACAGAAAAGGAAGTGCAGCTTTTTTTTTTAAAGGAAACTTAGGATAAACACATAAACCAGGTAAGAATGCAGCAATTCAGACAAAGATAAATCTTCATTTCTGAATGAGGTTTATTCACCAAAGGTCAACCAGCTTCCACTTTTGTATAAATCATGCAGTTGTATGTGAAAAATCTCAGCATCTCATTAGCCTATTGACACTTAAAGGAGATTCAAGGTAGATGTTACTCCAGTAATGGCCAGAATCTTGTTGCTAATTTACAGTTACATAGAGGAAATCACAGAAATCTTGATGACAGATTGCCACTTCTTACTGACATGCTGCCCAGGAACAGAAACAGCACCTCAGAAGAAATTGCCATTTTCTTCCAAGACTTATTTCCTTTACACAAGTTTAATTCAGCAACAGGATTCTGGACTGTGTGTTTCCAATCTGCTTAGAATTCATAGGTCATTTTCTTTGTAAAAAGCAGCTCAGCGGGAGCCAATCCAAAGAGGGACAGCAGCCAGGGGGAGTGTTTCAATCTCCTTCCCTGCTATCAGTTACCTGATAAAAAATTATATACTGTACATATGCAAGTACAAGCTGCTGTTTGTACCTGAAACTTCAAATTTTTTAGTGCTGCTCCAACATGATCAACCAGGAAATATATAAAATTTGATAATTTTCTTTAAAGCTTTCATTTAGTTCATGAGAACAACAAAGTAGTATGATCTTTGACTGCTTTAACAAATATTGTATATGAGGTTTTTAACCTGTTTTGAGAAGAACCCAACAAGATATATGTAGCAGCATCCTTTGTACTCTGCCAGTGGTCTTTTCTCTTATAGTTGTGAAAGATATCTTGCATGAAATTGTGAGATAGCCACACAACACAATTTAAGTATTTAAAATATCATTTGAGATATTACACCTAGTATATCCTGCTGTTCACTGTGGTTAACATTAAGGAAACATGCCTTTTTTATCTCATGAGAGATCGATATTCTTTAGACAACTGTCTCCCATCCAGTTTGATGACTATTTAATAATGATGAATCTACTTTACTGTCACTTTACTTTTTGCAGTTTTCTCACCATGGAAATCTGTGTATAGGATGTCGTCATGCGTGCAGTGGTGATGCACATTTATATTCTGGGAGTTCACACCTGCCTTGTGTGAATGATATAGCAAAAGCATGAACTACAATTTCTTCATAGCCTACATATAAACTTCTCAGAGACATCTCACTTTCCACTGTTAGATAAAGGACATTAACTTAGATGTGCGGGGGTGCAAAATTCAGTCCCCCTCCCAGAGGTATTTATGTGGTCACTATTCCCCCCCCCTGCATAAATAAAGAGGTGAACTGCTGCCCCTGGAAGCCTCCACGAGTGATCACCTTTAAATAGGGCATACAGTCATGGCCAAAAATATTGGCACCCTTGCAATTCTGTCAGAAAATGTAACCCTTCTCTCAGAAAATTGTTGCAGTTGCCAATGTTTTGGTATTCACATGTTCATTTATTTGGTTTGCATT